GGTAAAAACAGGGAGTTGATTTTCCCCCCATTGACTTATAATGGGGAGGTCGCGAAATTGACCTGACCTTAGGTCACCGATATCAAAATTCCGAGATATACACATTGTAGCTACTAATGACCTAATAATATCCTGCGACTTTCAAAGGCCTCCGACATCTACTGTAGCTCTGGCACGGTGACAAAGTTGCAAAAAAGTGACTTGAGGTTGGGTCATTCAAAGTGACCTGGTGACCTGACCTTAAAAGGTAGGAGGTTCAAACTTGCACACCATGTGTAAAATTGATGAGGTTATAGTCATACTAAATTTCGCGGCGCTACGCGCCGCGGTTTTCCCGCTATTCGCGAAAAACCTCAGGGGGGGGGCGGATATCCGCCCCCCGTCGGTGCGAGGGTTAACATACTTTATTCCCTAATCAGCTGGAGCATGCATAATGATCCAAATGTTTCTAGTTATGCTTCAGTTGTTTGAGCAAGAAACACGTCCTCGCAACTTTAACGTCGTTTTTGGCCGTGCACGAAGACCTTTCCTCATCCGTCTGCCCATAGTACGAGTTCGTCCCCTGTTCCTATCTAGACGGTCACCGGCTACCAGTTGGAGTAGATAACATCGGAGCAAATCCAACGAGCTGGCCATTAACGTGACTATAGGTGGATCTCGGCCCCTGTTTCACGATACGACTCTCCCCGCCGCTACAAGGTATCGAAACTTAGCCGGTTTCCATAAAGACGTTGGTAACATTGTAAAGTTTGCTTACGTTTCCATAGGAACGGAGGCACCCATACCTGATGATGTGAGGTACTGGGTAGCAGCGTGCCGCTAAACAGTGACTATAGCTTTGGCCCCAAGGCTGGTTTAGCCACGTGTTACATCTCAAGATATCTGTGGCTAAGAGCCAGGTCAGGTCATTTTACACCCTATATTATGTATATTGCCTGTATATTGGCTCATACTCAATACTCAATACTCTCTCTATCTCTATATATAATGATATATAATACTAATGATAAGTCAATAAGAGAAAATTGAAAGTCGTCTCATTTGGTCTGGGCGGGTCATTCTTAACACCCTCAAACATCGGGTTACATGTAAACAGTGACATGAAAACGGTCACCACTTCACCAACAGATTTTTTACTATAACTTTTGATAGAGACGTGCTAGAGCGGTGAAAACACGTCAGATGTGTTCAGCTCGTGCTCGACGATACGGATCGACTGATATGCAGCATGACCTTTTCCGGTCAGGTCATGACCTCGACCTGACGTAAAATTTTCAAAATGACCTTTCAAGGTCAATCTATAGTTCATTCGACGCGTCTCGACGAGAGGAACACGATGCTGGCAAAAGTAATGTCGTGGCTCGTTTGAGGCAAAAGTTATTACCGAAAAAACGTCTTTCGTAAACACGGCTATTTTTGGAGTTTTTGCCCTCTGGAGGCTAAACCGTTGACCTGAGGTCAAATCTAAGAATAAAACTCAGAAAGACCTGTGAAAGAGCTATCGAATGCGCTTTTCCGCGGCGCTGTAGTTCTATTGGTTCCCAAGTTATGCGTCGGGTGTTTCGAAAGTTGTTGAAATAAACAAAATTTGTCTTTAATGACCTCTAGTGACCTGACCTTTGACCTGACCTAAAAATGACCTAAGTATATCCGCCATTAGTTTTTACGCTTTTTGGAATGTCGCTTACCCCGTGTGGCTACGTGGCCCAGAAGCCGAGTTTGGGGGGGGGGCGGTGGTTTCATACACTCTCGGCCCGGCGCGGTTGGTACCGTGTACCGTCCCGGCGTGGGTTTATACTTTATGCAAGTATATTTGTGAAAGTTACAGGTTTAATTTAATCGTCAGATGAATATTTATCAAAAATATACTCATGAAATATATGTAAGAGATGACAACGATCGGAAAATTACCAATTTCGCGATGGGCGCTAGGTCGCCCACGTGGGTATGAAAACAACGATTTTCATGACAAAGGATACAATCTCAAATACTTAACCTGTCTCTAACGATTCTTGCCATTCTCATTTATACCATAGATATCTTCTGAGCTAGCTGAGAAACCACGTTCCGCAGAAAAATCACTTAATTAGCTCCGACACGACGCCCTCAACACGCACGAGGCCGGCCGCGTCCTTAGTGAAGATAGTTCACCTAAATGCCCACCAGGTGGCAGGGGATACAGGTCGCGGGGGGAGTTGCCGATCCGTTATGTGATCCGTGGCGCAGCCGAGCCGAATATGGCCGCCCTCTGGCCGGCGCAGATTTGGCAGCACGCACCTGACACGGCCTGAGTGCGCCTGCCAGATCTGCCGGATCGAGATCGCTGAGGGATTGACCTTGTGACGTGTGGAGCAGCTCGGTACCTGTGTGGGTTGGAGATGATTGGGCTGATGTGTCATTACATAAGTGGGACTAGGGTGTAGGTGGCTTGAGATCAAATGTGATTTATGAAGTTCCGGGCAATATCTTCTGCATTACTTTTTGCTGATTGCAGAGTGGTGTGATTCAGAAGGTAGGAAACGAGGCATCAATGAGCCAGTGCGCAAAGTCCGAAGGAACTAGGAAGAAAGGCAGGGCCAGCTTCAGGTCAAGGAATCAGTCTTCGAAACGTTGCTTTGCGCTGCAAACAATGCCGTAATAACGGTGTTGGTGTTAGGCTGCGTGATGGTTATACTACAGCATAGGCTCGTCAATGTTTTTGTCATATCAATATCCAATGCTTGCTGCTGATACCGATGTATTTTAGGCGAAACGACGTCAGCTCAGCTAAATTACAGCATGGGTTTACTTCACATAACGCGTATTTCCGCTATCGTTGTCGACAGGATAATTTCGGTGCTGGCGAGTTCGTTCAACTGACGGTCACCTGAGCCCAATCACAGTCTGTATCTCATTATGGTCGGTTCGACGAGTGCTCGGGCCGCCCCGCCCCTCCGCTTCCCTCCCCTCCCCACCACGGCAGTTCTCTGTGCGCCGCAGCAGAGCGGCCAGCCGGAGAGAGCGGAGAGCAGGAGAGAGGACGGGAGGCAGCGCGCTCGATGCCGTCCACGCAGGATCTGTAGTTGCAGCGCACTCTCCCGTCCCTACTTCCCCTGCCCACCAAGGCCCACCCTCGGTTATAAGGCGACACCGCACGGGCACCCTCTCCGAGGGCCCGTCAACCTAGCTCTCCCCATGTCGTTAAATGCTCTCCCTTTGTTCAGATGTGTTGCCTAGCCATCTTAGCTCTGTCTCAGTGAAGCTTTGAGTGCTGACCTTAATTCGGAGCCCACAGCGACACGAGACGAGCTCATGATCATAGCTCATGGACGTGTTACTTCCTTTGTCGGCTTGTTGAGTTTGCCGCTGAATCGACTTTATTACGGGCGGCTAGCAACCAAGTAAGACTTGCCGCTTTGTTCGCGGCACGCGTCCAGGCTCTCCCCGCCTCCGGTCCCGCTCACTGCAGCGGAAATGCCAGCCCGTGGGAGCGGCGCCCGAACGCAGGTCCGGGTGGACCCGGTCCGGACCCGGACCGTCCGGAGCCGGGCCGGACCCGACCGTCCGGAGTGTGTACCGTTCGGTGGTCGACCGGCGGCGCGGCGGCGACCGGCTTTGTTTGGACCCAGAGCCCAGCCGAGGCGCCCTGCGTCGGCTGATGCGAAAATCGAACGGGGAAGGGTGTGCGGGAGGGGTGTGGCAGCCGGCAGGTTGGAAAGGCGGGGTAGGGATCCTAGGGAGCTCACTGACGCCTGACAGTCGGCTCCCAGCTTGGGTTGTACCGCCACCGACCCCGCTGCTGCCGCCTTTGGCACCGGCCGGCGGCAGTCCTTTGTTCCTAATCCTGTCTGCCGGCCGGCGCCTGGGCAGCAACCGGTCGGGAGGGCGGGGCAGGTGCTACGGGGTAGGTAGCATCAATAAGTCACTGAACCTACGAGATGAACCTGGTTCATGACGCGATAGGGTTTGCATTCAATAACACACCGCGGAAGAACGGAGTTTGTTTTGTTTTGAACAGCTGATCGCCGGCTCACAACAGACCGTATCGCCAAGGTCGCTAGTGGGCGGGGCTGTTGTGGCAACAAACGGATCTTATCCTACCATCTAGCGACAGGTTTGGTAACTACAGCTTCTCTCGCCCGCCGGTCATATCCTACACTAGCCGTTGTGCATAGCACGGCGTACAGAACAGCTCCCAGAGGGCGCTGCTGGCAGTACCGAGCGGCGCAGGACAAAGGCCTCGCCGAAGGGCGGGCCGAGCCGGGTTGGATGGCAGTGGGACCGATCTTTAGCCGGTACCCGGCGGTCACTGGCCTGATCAGGGAACGGGACATGATATGCGCAGTTGGTCAACTTTGGCCGTTGGCGGACACCGGCAGGTCACATCAACCATCATTTTATATTTGTAACCACCGTTATAGCGCAACAATAGAAGCCGCCAAGGGCATAGCACGCTTACGTCACTGCTCGCGCTGGCAGTGACCCAGGCGTCCTGACCTCGGTCTGACTGACAACGCGTGACCCTGACGCGTCCCTCGCGGCCGGCCGGTCAACAGCCTCCGTTTTTGTCAACCACCTCCGCCTGTTTGCAAGGTGGTTCTTGGCGAGCAGATATACGCAAAGCTGGCTTTGGCAGACCTTTGATGTGTTTTCATCGGCTGGGTTTCGCTGACGGTGTTCGGAATTTGGCCCGATGCCTCGAGGGGAGAAAGAATGACCGATAAAGACAGTAACTGATAGCCGTAACGGAGAATGGTTGGCATTCAAACTTTTGGCAGGCTGAAATTGTCGAGCAGGAATAGTGGAATATTGTAGGACTGTTGAAATGCAAACGCCTAATGAACCCTGCGTTGTAGACACTAGACAGTGCCTTTGACTTTACAGAGTTTTGATAACTTGCCGATTCGTGTACGACCGGTGACTATGCGAGGCCTTTCTCACTGGCCCCGGTCCGCTCAGGCAAGTGCAGACTGTGACCCTTACGCATATTTTACGTAACCCGAACACACCTTTGTCGGCAGGTTTCCACCCAGACTGTGTACAAATGCACCTGGCCCGGCTGCAGCATAATCACATCCACCTGCTCTGCCATCGAGAAACATGTGCGCAACGTCCACCTTGGGTGAGTGAGGGCCGACAATGGCCGGTTCAAACGCGAGCGTGATGTTAAAGTTGACGGCCACAAACGACAAATTAGCGTTGTTTTGAACGACTCATCATTGAGCATGTGTTGTATTGTGAGCATAGCGAAACATAAATGCCTTTTAAAATCGCAATGTAATAACGAACGTTTCTTGCCAGAGCTCTTGGCAATTGCAGAAAAGTCGCAGATCTAGGAACGTAGTCTATATAAGACATGCTTTATCATTTATATTTCTATCCCAGTGTCTGAAAGGAAAAGCACGGCGACACACTGAAGCGGCCAGCATCCGACTCGACTGAGCCGTCCCAGTCCCCTGACACCCCGTACCGTTCCGTTCTCTTCAGGCCGCCGCGCCAGCAGGACTCGGACCTCAGCGACCACGAGGAGGAGTTCTACTACACCGAGTGCGACGTTGCTCTGGAGACGATGGAGAGTATCAGCGACGGCCTGGCCGGCCTGTACGCCAGCTCGCCGCCCACGCTGTCACACATGGACATGGCGCGTCCACCGCACGAGGACCCGCAGTACCAGAGGGAGTTGGCGATGAGGGCTGCGGGAGGAGACCCCGCAGCGGCAGCGGCGGCGGCGGCAGCGCCCATCCCGATCCCCGGACCCAGACAGTCGTGGACGACGTCGCTGTGGAGCACGGTGAGTGAGCGGGAGGAACGAAGGCTGGGAGGATAGAGTAAGTGGGAGATGGCAGGCAAGAGGTGGAGGAGATGTGGCGCATTCCCAAAGTGATTGCACGAAATGAATAGAACGGTGCCATACATCAGGCCATCACATGTTGCGTTGTACCTACATGCTTTCATACACCTGCGTCTTCTTGCATGTAGCAACTTTGCTGTTCTTTATCTTCCCTGGTTTGCTTTGTATCGCCATTCACCACAGTTCATCGATACCGGTCCAATTCACATCGCATCCTGTCTCGTTTTGCCCAGTGCCCTCACCCTTGCGCGCCCACCCCGGCCCAGCACCTGTTCCCCTCTCCCAGTTCATGAACTGTAGCTGAAGGTGTGAGAGGCAGGCGCACCCGCCACGTAACGACTTGTAATGACTGCAGCACACCGAGAACTAATTACCCCGTCATTACACGGGGTGGGGACGGGTGACGGCACTGTCACTTCCGCCACATGAACTGGGTAGAGGTTACTGCCGCATAACGGACAGGCTCAGTGGGCGGGACATGGGTCAGGTGCGGGAAAGTGTGTGTAGAGGAAATCAGGGTGACTAGATGTTGTCCATGTTCATCCAGGGTATTTACAAGTTCTGTAATAACATCTCGACTTGAATGGAGCTTGGTGACTACTGACTGAGTTTTCTTCGCTTTGCACGTTACCTCTGCTTTTATTGTATCCACGGCTCCTTTTGTGCAGCATGTTCATTGTCTCGCCTTCTGTGCCCTCAGACTGGCTCCAGCAAGTACATCCGACTGGGCACCAAGGTGATGACCACCAGCCCCAAGACGTCGCCCCACCACCGGCGCATCCGCGGAGACGTCAAAAAGTGCCGTAAGGTGAGCAGTCGTGAGATGAATTCAGTGCAGTTGAATGATAATGAAAAGGGAACACACTTTGTGATGTTCCAAAGAACGATCCAGAGAGGAAGTGCCTGTAGTGCACAAGTGAGCTTCACATACGTAGCAAAGGCAGAAAGAAAGGTTTACCCACACGAGCTCAAACCGGTCAAACGATAACTTTGAAAGCTGAGGAGGCTTTTTCGTCTGTATGAAGCTCTGATAACAAAACGCAGACTCACATCCTGCTAGAGCTGATGATTTTCGTGACATCACTATGGTCGATGCCTCTTTGTCAGACTTTGAGACCTGGCTGCGTATATTTCAGGTGTACGGAATGGAACACCGCGAGCAGTGGTGCACTCAGTGCAAATGGAAGAAGGCCTGCACACGGTTTGCAATGGACTGAGGGCGCGCTGCACCGGCGACCGTGGCGCCGCCAAGCGGAGACATGCTGAACCACACTGCCTGCCTCCTGCCGCCGCCAAACGATCTTTCCCATCGGGCTGTTGGTCCGTGAGCAGCGCTTTCCAGTGAGCGACACTGGGACTGAAGCTTGGCGCCTCGCTCGTCAGAGTGGACGTCCGAGCGTCACAGCGAAGTGGACCTACCCCCGACCCCGGCTGCCAAATGCCGACAACGGCGTATCTCACAGACTCTCCAGTCACACTCGCGCAGTTTTGAAGCTTTATATGTTGTCTGGTGTGCCGAGTACAAATAACTGGAACCGTAGATGGCTATATTGGCGCGCTCGCGCCCCGCCCGCCGCGTCGCCCCACCCCACCCGCCACCTCCTCGCTCCCAGCTAGTTAGCCGTAGTCTCATCCACATCCCCAGTGTCGTGAGCGCCAGAGGTCGTCGTTTTTGCGACGCGCCCGTGCGTCGCGCACGTGCCGAGTTCTTTGATGTCTTTCAGTCGTGCAGTGCGCCTGCTAGAGGTCCCGTCGATCCGGTGTGCCTAGGTTAGCCGTGTCTATGGGACGCGCAGTGCCATCATCGCCCGAGTCTCAACGTCGAGTCACCGGAGACCGAGTCAACCACCGTGTCAGCTGAGTCAGCGGAGTCAGCCGCGGCAGAGTCGCGGACTGAGGGCAGAGGGCAGGGCCCGGCCGCCCGCCGAGAGGACGCTCTTCAGAGGTCCAGCAGTGTCCAGTGTTTGATCTTCAGTGGCTGGTCTCGTGTAGTGGTCAGTGAGACGGCGCCGGTCGCGGTCAAGGTCAAGGTCATTCGGACGAGGTCAAGGTCACGGTGCCGATGACTGTCCAAGGGACGATAGTACAAACTCCGACTGTAAATACCATATATATGCAGACGCGCGTGTGCCGGGCATCGCTTGGAGGAGAAAATCGGGTGTGCCGGCAGCCGGCTGCTGCCACATGCAAAGGCAGTGCCGCACTTGGACTTGAGCAGCTTGCTGCTGCGAAGATTTATCGATGACTTTTGTTGACGGCTTTGAGAGTTTATTTCGAATCTGATTACTATTTGCCGATGTCTGGTATTTGAACTTATTTGTGTGATTTTAGAGACTGACAGTAGCATTTTTGAGTGGTGGATGATATGTGTGGTGGAGTGTTTTGAGCGCTGGCGAAGTGTGTACTTGCGGTCGTGATGGGTGGTAGTTTACAGCACGTGCTGGCAAATTGCAGAATCAAACTCGTCCTATATCTTCCGAGCGATTTTATCATCATCAAATGAGCTCATATGAGAATATGTTCATTTACCTATCTCCAACTTGTCCAGTCATAGCAAGTGTCGCATCACTGCCAGTACTGTGATTCGACTCACAGTGAAAGCTCGCTCGTGATTGGTCCCTGGTTTGACCCCGTGTGGGTCACTCAGTCCGTTTGCCAGCGTGTCGCTGCCTGTATGGAGTGTGATGAGTGCACCAAGTACAAACTCCACATATTGTGCCAGAACAGGCGTCCCGATGAAGTCTCTTCATTTGAGGGGTCTTGACTCGCTTGTTGCGCGAGGACAGCATCAGATTAGCTGGTGATGTCGATAAGGACGATCTCCGCACTGAGCTGCGTGCAAATGTGGCCTTTGTTCATTTGAACTTGGAACTCTCATGTTGCAGGTTTATGTATGGAAGTATGGCTTGACGAAATGTTCACAATGCTGGCTTTAGTATTACGGGAACTGAATGTGTGCGTATAGCGACCATGGATGGCGAGAGAGAACGGTTGGAACTTGGAACAAGTGAGCTGTGCTTTAACGGTGATGCCGGTCGAGACTTCGAAGCGAGCATGATGGCTGGTCATGTGCTCCAGACCTCCGCAGTGGATTTAGGAGAGCGTGAGCCTGCGCTGAGTCTACATGAGTCGCCTGAGATGAGAGGCAATCGAGGTGAACCGCGCCGGTCATGAGCTGAGCGAGTTTTAGTTGAGGAGGGAGGAGAGGAAAGAGAGAGGAAGAGATATCGGATTTGCAGTGGTTGAAACCGCTCCGAGTTTCACCCAAGCATATGTATATACAGGTGTAAATTATATTTTTAAAATAAATTTTATGTGTCCGGTATTCTCGTGTTTAAAACCGCGCTGGATGGGAAATGATCTACACGGCCATATTCGCAACAAAAGGGGTGTAGCTATGTTTGCTCACCTCCAATTATCTCATTATGTGAGAGCTATGAAGAGTCGGACACTTCCATTTTGTAATGCTGCAATATTTTATTAAATAACACATTCACAAATCACATCACATCAATCAATCCCAATTCCCTAGTGGTGGAGCATTTCGGATTTGCTGCACATCAAGGCATCAAGAATTTCCAGACACTATTCGGACAAAACACAACAAATAAATACACACGAGCATATCATAAAACATCACATTCACATTAGGAACACACGTAGGCCATGTTTCTTTGAACGTTGTCAACAGAAAGAATGATTCTGCCCCAGTTTACTGGTAGCGGGGCCTGTAGCCGACGATGACGCGCTCATACTGGGGCTGGTAGTAGCCGGCGGGAGCTTCGTCATCATCGTCCTCCTCCTCAGGAGCCTCGTAACGCTCCTCCTCCTCAGCGTCATCATCATCAGACGCCTCCGGGGTCGGGTACTCGGTGGGCACCGGGGTGGGCAGGTGGGCGCCCTGCGGCTGGAAGCCGTCTCCGTCGGCCGTGTAGGTGACGGAGTAGGTGACCCCGTCGTCGCCGAGGTAGCTGAACTGGCCGCTGACGCTGTAGCTCTCCTCGTCATCGCCGTATCCCTCAACCGGCCGGCCCGACTCGGAGGCGTAGATGCCGTTCTCAGTCTCGAAACTGGAGGACAAGAAGACGCGAGACGTAAACGGCTTAGCATGAAGGTAGCGATGTTAGGTATCGATAAAGAATTAGGCAGGTAAACATTGACAGCGCGAAATGTCCGTTATGTTCCGTACCCTTTTTTGATTAGGGCTCGGCTATGAAAAGGAGTCGGATCCTACCAAAACCTATAGAAGGACACCCATCTATAGGTTTACTACTAGCGCGAGTCGAAAGTTAACCCTCGCCGGACCTATTGGTTTTCTACATACGCGCCGGCCGAGGGGGGGGGGCGGGTACGACCCCCCCCCTCGCCGTTTCGCCCCTGGTGGAGCTAGCGCGTCGCGGAAAAAACGAGCGTGTGCGCCGTTACGAGACGCAGAGATTGGTACCCGATTTTAAGGTCCTAGGTCAACCGGTGACCTCTGAGGTCAGGTCAAGTGCCCCAAGGTACGGTTCAGTTTTTGGTGAATAACTTCGCAAAAAACGGCCGCAGAGCGCCGATTTTGGCAGCATCGTGTTCGTCTCGCTCAGGCGCGTCGAATGATATACTTTTTGTCCGGGTCAGGTCAACTTGGGGTGTTGACCTCAGGTCAAGGTCAGGTCAGCACCCCCAAGTCACGAAGTTGGTCGAAAGAGGTCATGTCGCATATCATTCGATTCGGCAGGTCTTCCTGAGTCCATTGGTGGCTTTCCCGACTCGCTAGCTCAGTTTGATCGAGAGTTATTGACGAAAAACTAATATGACCTTGATGACGTCATAAATGACGTCACGGAAGGTCAACATTGCAAAAGTGACGCATCTAACCTTGCAAGGAGTGCATCAAATCACGATTCTGTGTGCTTGAGATAGTTGGAGATCGTTCCCGGCGCCAGAATAGCAGTTTGAATTTTTCCCCATTGACTTATAATGGTGAGGTCACGAAAATGACCTGACCTCATATGACCTTTAGGAAAAATCCGAGATATACAAGTTGTGAGACTCATAATGGATACTAGATCCTGCAAGTTTCATTTCCCTGTGACATCTCCTCTGGCAGTGAGGGCGTTGCGAAGTTGCGACATCTGAAGACCGTGCAGAGGTTCACTTATGACGTCATAGGTCAGTGACCTGACCTGACCCAAAAATGCGGTTGGTATCAAAAGATGCGGCTTGGATCAAAGGTCAGGTATGCCAAGTTTCAGCTCTCTATCGCCAGCGTGTTCGGAGCTATCGCGAAAAAACCCTATGGGGGGGGGCGGCACCCGCCCCCCCCCCCTCGGCCGGCGAGGGTTAAACTTTCACGGCTGCCACCAACGTCTACGATCTGCTACAAAGTTATAGAGCCGCAGAGCTACAGAGAGCCGAGTGGCCAGTACTTACTGCGAGTCGTAGGACTGGTCGTCGCGGAGCTCCGACTCCTGCTTCAGAATCTGGTACACCTTGGGGGCGTACGTGGGGGCCGGCGCCGAATAGCCGCGGTCCGGGGCCGGGGCGGCGGCGGCCACGGCCAGAACGGCGGCAAACACAAACTGAAACAGCAGACAGGGTGACGGTTATAGTGCTGGTAGTTATTGAATAGTGGGTTTTACTGCACAAATAGTTCCACTTATTAGTGCAGCTTAGGAAAAGGCAGCAGAGTAAATAAATTTTAGAATTGAGCAAATCTAGATGTTACAAGACAATCTGCAGCAAATCTAATAGTTTAGCAGGTATGATTCGCATTATGCTTGTATGCATATGTAGCATTATAGCATATGCTTCGCTGAAATTGCCAGGAACAAACGCCATAATAAGAGAAAATGCAAGTTTTCCAAGCAGTTCACTTTCCTTCACCAGCGTCTTACCAGCTTCATGGTGCTCTGAGTGTCTGTGGATGTTGTCTCGATGTGTGAGAGCTGTGAAGATCTGATGCCGGTCCGTCTGGGCCGGTCCGTTTTATACGGTCTCTGCGGACCGGTCTGGATCTGCGGTACCTCGTCACGGTCAGCCGGGGACAGTTGTTCTCTCGTCCTGCGAGGACAGTTGTCCTCTCGCTGCTGTCCTCTGGGGACGCTCCGTGCAGACCCGGCGTCCCTAATTGGGTCAAGACGATAATTTGGACCGGAACGACCAGCTCACTTGGTGTAGCAGATAGGGATTACCCGAGCCGTGCTGGGAGGCGTTTTTATCCCCCCGCCTCCTCAGGTAAATAAATATCTCAAAAACGGCTTGACACACCTTTATCATGCAACTTTTTAGTATACCTACATCTTGTTGCTGAATTGTCAGACCCGCGTCGTTCAAGGTCAGGTCACCAGATCACGTGAATTGGCCAAATCTCAGAACCATGGTGTGTCAAAAGTGGAAATAGCCGCCCGGCTTTAGTTCGCCAGCCTTGCCAATAGATGGCAGTACAACAATGTGGGCAGCGGATCGTGCAGTTGACGTCAAATCTTCGTTATCTGCTAAGAATTGAATGTCGGATCTTTTCATGCAAGAATCAAGTAAATCGGTCCACAACTTTTCTAGCAACATAGATATGAAGTCAAACACCCTGCCAGAGCGGCAGCGCGGCGGCCGGCGGCGCCCGGGGAGACTGGCGGCCCTGAACGGTTCCGACTTGACACTGCACTAAAACCTGTTAACTGCTTGGAATAGTTATTATAGCAAAATTTTCATTCAAGTGAGGGATAACCAAGGGCAGGAAGTATGTATGCTTGTGTGCGTACTGTGTAAGCCAAGAAACTGCATTAGCAGACACTCGCTAATATTAGATCCAGCCAAGTCCAAACGCATTCCAGGGGATGTGTTCCTGATGGGTCAACAATATTTATCGTTCGAGGGCGGATACAGTTTTAACAATACAAAAAATATTTTTGCACAGCTCTATTCCTTGAATAATTCTCTTCAACGCCTCATTCCTAGTTAAGCGAATTAGCCCACCCTGGTTGAATAAATAAGGCGATTTCGCCACAAGGTCGCGGAAAACCGACCGAAAACGGCCGCGCTCAACGTTAATTTGGGCATGCAGACTCTAAAAAACTCGCATTGGGCGGGTAGGGTTTCCCAGGTATTGGCTCCAAAATACCGTATTCGGCTCCCGAATACGTCCAAGTGACCCGCCTCGTTCCTAGTTAAACTCTAATTAGATCAAGTGACTCATAAGGAGCGAAAAAGCGACAAAAAGCATGAATTTCCCTATGGCGGCGGGCTGCAGGGTTGCCAGACGGCGCACCGGCTATTTCCACTTTTGACACACCATGCTAAGTTCCAATGCTCGATTAATTAGAGTAACAGAATGCAAAAAATAAAATATCAATCCCGGAATGCTGATATCGGTGACCGGTTTTTCTTATTTTTGGTCAGAGCATTTCACCGACCTGTCCATCATAATTTAATGGGAAGAGTTAAATGCGTCTCTTTTCGACATATGCCAAAATACGAGTAAACATTATCAACCCGCGCCCCAGTGTCAGTCTGGATTTTCCACGACCTGGGCCTCGTTTCATAAAGCTCTGCCGTAACTTACACCTTTCCGTAATTCACACCCTTTCAAACTACGGAGCGCAAATGAAGCCGTTTCACAAAGCCACAACTGGAATTGTTTACACCTCCGTAACTATAAGCACATTTGCGTAGTTACCGTAATTTATCAAGCGTCCTACAAATTACAATTTCATGTCAACACTTATTTTCTCACAAGACATTATAACACAATTATGTTGAATTTAAATAGTAAAAATTATTTATGAAAGAAACAACATCGATTTTGCTGACCATCCTTTATTAAATCAATCATTGAAAACAGCAGAAAGCCAGCTAAGCGGAGGTGCCTAACTACGAAAGTGGCGCGGTGCGCCGAATAAACAAAATTCCGACAGTGGCCACAAAAAGTGACTGGTACAGAAGATTTGCAGTTTCTTTTTCTCATTTTGGCTGTTCTTTCTTCATCACCGGGCTCAACATTATAAAAAAAGATAAAATTAGCTTCGAATCTTAACATTAATTCAAAATCACGCAACTTTTTTGTGCGTAGTTTACATCACTGATATCAAGAACTTGATAAAATATTTGGCGTTAATTACGTCGTTTTATGAAACCCAATTGGCATCAGCCCCCGTTCACGAGCTTCAGAATTCCTTTACCGTGACGTCATCACGGCGCATGAATTTTCCTTCACCCATAGAAATGCATGCAAAGCATGGTGTGTTTCAGGCGGGCTAAGGAGAAATCTAAGGCCTACATGTGTTCAAAAGACGTACCACTAAGCCAATGGATTCGTCTCATTACGATAAATGGGGTTGAAATCGAAACATTCGGCCTATATTTATCTAAAATGGGCCAATCAAATGGTCCCTGCAACTCATAATGAAGGATTTCCTCTGCGTTGAAAAATTTGCTTCAAGTGTTTTTTCATCAGCGACAGGGGAAATCCTTCATAATTGCTACCAGATTACTACCATATTCCCTCGCATTTCTGTTGCGCATTGCCTCACAAATAAGAGTTTTGTGAAGTTTATATTAATTAAATTGTCATATTTTGACTGATTTTGGCGATTTTCAATTATTTCAACGCAGCATGGATCAGATAGCTCTCATAGTTTGCTGAAGAATGTGGCTTTTGCTTGGTTATTTTCAAGTTATCTGTGATTTGGTGCGCCGTGATCGTAGCATTATACAAATTATATAAACTTTAAAAATTAATCAACTTTTGAAGTGAAGTTCACATGAAAAATCAAAAGTTCAAGCATAATAATTGTTTAGATATAATGATGCAACATGTGTCTCCCAGATGGAACTTATATTTCAATTGAAAACTGAAAATGGAAAACAGAAGATGGATCTGCGGAGTTACTGAGATCACAAGGTGCTCTTGATTGTTGGTAATTGAAGATGTTGAGAGAACTTGTGAATCTGCATAGGGGAGAGTGGGGCAAGTCGCCCCCGTTAAGGAAAAACTGTTTTCACGAATAAGTATGAAGGCACAGATCTCTAAGTAAAAGATTTTCTGGAAGCACATTCAATTTACCACTTAATGCATCGCACATAAGTCCAGTCTATTCTAAATGTGTTAAGCAATTAACGTTTTTCTCGAACAAGTCATTTCGAGCATCTTACCCCGTGGGCGGGTAAGATGCCCACTCTATAGGGGTAAGATGCACATAATGAGGGCGTCTTAACCCACAGTGGTGAAATTTATGTTTTGATGTGCTGGGGCAGGAAAACGTATTGTTACTGTGTGAAGTACGCAATTTGGCAGGTCTTTGATCATTTACCAACGACTGAAATGACATATTAAATCAGTTTATAGGCAATATATCTGCATATGGCGCTGATACATCGGACGATCTCGCAATAGATAGTTTTATAAACATCGTTCTTGTATTGAACAAATGTAAAAACAAACTGCGTTTGAGTCAAGTACCGGACCTCCCTGCTGAACATAAGCCCATGTCTTCAGCGTAAGAAACTCCATATGACATGCCATACTCAGGCATCAAAGCTGCAACTATAATGGGGCAAGCCCCGGTTTTGTGACCGGTTCGCGTCACGATACCCGTAGTCGCGCCGCTCAGTTGCGGCAGAAGTCACACGTGTAACTTTCCCTCATGTCATTTGCATCTGTGCAGGGCACACACGCCCATCCTGAGCACCTCCCGCACTGAATCCATTCCTCACACGACCTTACAAAACGCATCCCACAGATGATACAGTTGACATCACTGTCTTTATCTGCAGCCATGCTTCCGGAGTTTGCTTCTTTCTTAGCCTTTAGTCGCCCTGTGTTCTTCCCCTTTCTGGCCGTTTTTCTTTGTGTGCACTCGAGCATCCTTTTCAGTGGCGAAGAAGTTAAAACGGCTGCCCGCTCCGCCCTTCGCGACCTCTTCCTTTTCGGCCCGTGAGGAGTTGGGCATAGCGAGTTCAGCGTGCTACCGGCGCATACACCGGCAGCGGCAGCGGCCTCACCATCAGCGGGCGGCGCCGCCACGCCGCTGGGACCAGCTCCTCCACCATCAGTGCGCGGCGCCGCCACGCCGCTGGGCCCGGCTCCTCCACCATCAGTGGACGGCGCCGCCACGCCGCTGGGCCCGGCTCCTCCACCATCAGGGGGCGGCGCCGCCACGCCGCTGGGCCCGGCTCCTCCACCATCAGTGGACGGCGCCGCCACGCCGCTGGGCCCGGCTCCTCCACCATCAGTGCGCGGCGCCGCCACGCCGCTGGGCCCGGCTCCTCCACCACCAGCGGGCGGCGCCGCCACGCCGCTGGGCCCGGCTCCTCCACCATCAGGAGGCGGCGCCGCCACGCCGCTGGGACCGGCTCCTCCACCATCAGTGCGCGGCGCTGCCACGCCGCTGGGACCGGCTCCTCTACCGTCAGTGCGCGGCGCTGCCACGCCGCTGGGACCGGCTCCTCTACCGTCAGCGGACGGCACCGCCACGCCGCTGGGACCGGCTCCTCCATCGCGCTCGGGCGGCACTGTCGTGCGCTCCCCGCGGGGCCTGAAGCCATCCACCATTGGATTTTCATCTGGCTCTTCCTCTGTGAGACCCGCTGGTGCGAAATCCTCTTCTGTGAAGAGCATTTCGCACGGCCAGATACCAGACGCTCTGAAGCCATTGATAGCTCGCTCCATCGTCGCTGCCCTGGTGTAGGCGGTGCCAAAGATCTGTGCGACCTCGTACTCCGTCACGCGTCTGCCGGGATGGGCCCTCATCCAGCTGTCGGCGGCGCTGTTATAGCTGCTCTTAATAGCTTTGAACACCCCCACATCCAATGGCTGCATCCTGTGCGATGAATGTGGTGGGAGCGCGTTATGATCGTCACGCCGTGCTCTCGCGCCAGGTCGATCACCTCGATAGATTTGTGGCTATGGTGGCCGTCCAAAATGAGGATGTGCTTTTCCTCAACCCGTGGTTTCACTGACTTCAAGAAGTGCTGGAACCACTGGAGGAACACTTCTCGATCTGTCCAGCCTGATTTGGTG